TTCTCCCTCTCCCACTCCCCCTGCTTGTGTTCCCTCTCTCGCTGTGTCTCTCTCTGTCAAATAAATAAAATCTTAAAAAAAAAAAAAAAGAAGAAGACACTCTGTGTTATATGATAGTCGTGGGCCATGCGATGAAACTTTGTAAAGTAAGTAACAAAGTTTCCTTGGAAAAGACAATAACAATTTGAAAATTGCATCTAAATAGATTTTAGATGCTCTTGAACATTTCAGCAGGTCTTGAAATGAATGGATAATTGGGCGAATTGTTTCATTAACCCTGTTTTGCTTTTTGCCATGGCTGACAGGAAGCGCAGAACCCATTTGTTGCCTGGAGTTTGGAACCCTCTAGGTCCCTATATCATGCATATATGTAGCTACATGCTAACCATCCCCCTGGGCTTGTTGCAGGACCTGGTTTTGTAATTAATAACTTTCCATTTAATGTATTAAGTATAATTTGCGGGGCACCTTGGATTCTTTCTGGACCACATAAATATTTAATTTGTTCAGAAAGTCATTGAAAAAGCAACTTTTTTTTAAACTTATATAGCATTGGTATTAGGGGCTAGATTGCAGTAGACTCAATTAGGACCTTTTTGGTTGTGAATGACAGAATCCAAGCACAAGACTTAAGCAAAAAGAAGTAATTGGCTCCTATAACTGAAAGGTTCACAGCATATTTCCTTCAGGCCCAGTTTGGTTCAGGTGCTTATATGATTTCTTCGAGAAGTTCTCTCTTTGTCTCTTGGCCTTGCCTGGGCTGGTATCATCTTCAGGCCCAGGGATGGTCTCATCCTTATTGCTCACAGTCTTATGGAACCAAAGTGCCTTTTTTGGTGGCCTTCCAGTAAAAATCCTGGGATTAACTCTCATTGGACCCACTTGGACTATGTGCCCATTTCTGAAGCAGTAACTGTGGCCAAGGAGATATAATGTCCCAATCAACTAGGCCTGACTATCCCCACTCCTAGAACTTAGGGAAGCCCCACCCAAACAAAGCCCATGAACCCAGGTGGAGAGAAGAGGTGTTTCCCCGAGGAAATCTCCTTCATAGAAAAAAGGAGAATGGATGTTGGGTAGGCAAAACAATAGCCTTCCATTCTGCCAGCCTCTTTTAGGTCTAATTAGCTAAATGAATTATGGCATGAGTGAGTGGGAAGTAAGAGAATGTCAGAAGCCACAGGAGACTAAGAGTAAAGGGGTAGTGGGAAAGTGCCCCCTGTAGGGGCTGCTTCTACTGGGGATAGGGCATGACTTTCAGGGAACACTGAAATGACCTGGGTCTCAGGCCTGTGAATGTCTTATTGATGAAGCTAGTGTTAAGTAGGCACCAAGATTGGTCACACTTTTCTTAGCTATAAAAAAAAAATGAGAATACTAAAGAAGACCAAAAAAAAAAAAAAAAAAGATTATCTGTGCTCATGAGTTGGAAGACTTGATTTTGTTAAGACGTCAGTACTGCCAAGAGCGATCTACAGATTCTGTGCAATCCCTATCAAAATCTCAGTGATTTTTTTTTGCAGAGATAGAAAAATGCATCCTAGAATTCATATGGAATCTCAAAGAACCATGAATAGCCAAAACAGTCTTGAAAAAGAAAAGCATAGTTGGAGGTTTCATGCTTTCTGATTTCAAAACTTACTACAGAGCTACAATAATCAGAACCCTGTGGTACTGGCATAAAGACAGACATATAGACGAATGAAACAGAAGAGAGAACGCAACAGTAAATCTTTGCATATATGGTCAAATGATTTTTGACAAGGGTGCCAAGACCACTGAGTGGGGAAAAGACAGTCTTTTCAACCAATGGTATTGGAAAACTGGATATCCACAAACAAAAGAATGAAATTGGACCCTTATCTGACACCATATACAAAAATTAACTTCAAAGTGAATCAAAGACCTAAACCTGAGAGCCAGAACTAGAAGACTCTTAGAAGAAAATAGAGGAGAAAATTTCATGGTATTGAATTTGGCTATGATTTCCTGGAAATGACACCAAAAGTATAGGCAACAAAAGAAGACGTAGATAGGGCGCCTGGGTGGCTCAGTCGGTTAAGCGTCTGCCTTCGGCTCAGGTCATGATCCTGGAGTCCCGGGATCGAGTCCCGCATCGGGCTCCCTGCTCGGCAGGGAGTCTGCTTCTCCCTCTGACCCTCCCCCCTTTCATGTGCTCTCTCTCATTCTCTTTCTCTCAAATAAATAAATAAAATCTTAAAAAAAAAAAAAAAAAAGAAAACATAGATAAATTGGACTTCACCAAAATTAAACACTTCTGTGGATCAAAAGACACAACTGATGATCAAAAGGCAACCTACAGAACAGGAGAAAATATTTGACGATCATATATTGGATAGGGGGTTAACATCTAGAATATATAAAGAACCCGTACAACTTAAAAACATAATAACAACCCCATAAAGAAATGAGCAAAGAGCTTGAATAGACATTTCTCCAAAGAAGATCTACAGATGATCAATAAGCACATGAAAAAGAGGCTCGATAGGACTCATCATGAAATGCAAATCAAAACCATGAGAAAGCACTTCGCATCTGTTAGGATGGCTATTATTTAAAAAAGAGAATAACAAGTGTTGGTAAGAATGTGGACGAACTGGAACCCTATATGCTGCTGGTGAGCTCAAATGTTGTAGCTCTGTGGAAAACGGTATAGTGGTTCCTTAAAAAATTAAACATCTAGCAATTCTGCTTCTGGGTATATACCCAAAAGAATCGAAAGCAGGAACTTGAACAGGTATTTGTACACCCACGTTCACAGCGGCATCATTCACATTAGCCAAAAGGTGGAAGCAAACCCAGTGTCCATCCACAGATGAATGGCTAAGAAATGTGGTATATACATACAGTGGACTGTTCTTCATCTTTAAAAAGGAAGGAAATGCTGACGCATGCTACAACATGGACGAACCTGGGGGACATTATGCGGAGCGAAATAAGCCAGTCACAAAGGGACAAATACTATAGGATTCCACTTATAAAAGGTGTTTAATTTTGTCAAATTAATAGAGACACACAGTAGAATGGTGGCTTTTAGGGGTTGGGGAGAGGAAGAAATGGAGAGTTGTTTAATAGGTACGGAGTTTCAGTTTGGGAAGATGAAAAAGTTCTGGAAATTGGTGGTGATGATAGCACAGCACTGTGAATGTGCTTAATGCCAATGAGCTTTATACTTAAAATGGTTCGCGGGATAAAATTTATGTGTATTTTGCTACATTTTTTTTTAAAAAGTTACAATTTACCTGATCAAATGTAGTATGCGTAGAGGTATCCATACTGCAAGTTCTGTAGGCTTCTTTGGGAACCAGTGAGATTTCGTTTTGTTGAAAAGCAAAAAATAGAATGTTCACGCTAGAGATAATGGTTGAAAAGTTATCTTAGTTATTATTTTTTTTAGGTGGCAGTACGGAGAGGTCTTTTGGATTGTTCAGAAAGAAGCACCTTTCTTTTCGGTACCCTGGGAAAGAGGCATGAATACCTGTGGTTCAACCATATTCCCAAAATACTTTCAGAGAGGAGAGCAAGAGTTGACTAGAAGAGTTGACTCGGTGTATCATAAATCTCTGTGGTAGAGAATTAAATAGCAACTTCCACTTATGGGGAAAAGTGGGAAATAATGTGAAGAAGCTATTCTTGACAGTCTTCTTAAAAATAACATTTCAAAGGAAAGTTGCAGGGATATTTATGTCTGAACGTGTACAGGTCTGGGAAAAACAGGATTTCAGTCAGCTCCCTATAGGAAGAGAGGGCACACTCAGATGAAGGTAATTTGAAGAAAGTCTAATAAAAGGGGCCCTTTGCAGCAGTGTGGGCAGACTCTAGGGAAACCACAGGGCGAGTACAGTACCCGAGGCTGTAAGTCTTGGGGCCTGCTAGGGCCAGGGGACGGAACAGTTATGGGAAGCCAGCGGTCGCTCCCACACACACACCAACTCTCGGACCTCCCTCTCCTCCCACTCTCCCACATCCTCCCGAGATCCTTTTAGCTGGAGCTGGAGGGAAAGGAGCCCGCTGAGGTGGTCAAGGGGCTGCCTCTGGGGATGTGGAACCAAATGAGGGTGGGTGGGTGGCAGGTGAATCTGGAAGGGGGAGGTGCAGACGCCAAGACAGAGGCCCACACTGTCTCACCCAATTGAATGACTTCCTGCTGCATCTGTTCTTCACATCTCATCTGTGGGCTATTTTTGCCCATACACTGACCCAGAAAACCGCATTTTCCAGTGACTAAAAAACTATTTCCTTCTGTGGTTACATTCTCGAATTTTGACTTCGACAAAATTCGAGAAGAAAACCACACCATCTCATAGTAATATTTACATGTTCTGTATTGAATTTAATAGGTCACAGGAAATGTAATCACTCTCTGAAGAGGCTATTTTATATTTCTGAATTCCTTTTGGAATCAGGTTTAATCACTCTGTTCCCTAAGCATGGTGATCAGCTGGGTAGGAACTAAAAGATTCCCCCAGAATTTAACTCAGGCTTTCTCTGAGCAGTTGAGCCCTCATAGATGTAACATTTCGATGCTTGATTTTGTATTTTCAGAACCATAAAAGTAACCTGAGGCTATTTAGCCCCTGGAAAAGAAACACACACCTGTTAGAAACCTGAAGTCAGACTGCCTGGGTTCGAATCCTGGCTACGTCACTTATTATCTGTGTGATCGTGGGCAAGTCTCTTGATCATTCTGGGCCTCAGTTTCCTCCTCTGTAAAATGGAGTCCTAACTGGATACACCTCACAGGGCTGTGGTGAGGATTGAATGAGACCACGCGCCCTGAGCACGATAACCAGCACGCAGTCAACAATCCATAAATGACGAGTGTTGTTATTCTTGTCTCTTCCTTGCTCTTTTTCATCTCCCTTTCATTTCTCCCCTCAACTTCTGCTTAAACTTCTCCCACGGCCTCCATGAAACAGACCCTCATCTTACGTGGCATGTCTCCCTCCCCTTTCCTCCTGTGTCGATTCAGATTGTGAGCACATCCAATGCCTCCCAGACAGTCACCTTGGTGTACGTGGTGGGCAATCGGAGCTCCTTCCTCAACGGCACGGTCGCCAGCAGCCTCCTCCGCCAGCTCTCGGCTGAGCTGGTTGGGTTCTACCTCACCTACCCGCCGCTCACCATCGCCGAACGTGAGTATGTCCACACCCCACGGGGACGCTGCCTTTCCCCCATTACCCCCGGGGGTCCTTTCTCCATTTAACGAACACCTATTGTGCTGGGCACATAAAACTCTTTTATCATAAAATAACTGGAATTGGTGATAAACCGGGATTGAATTGATGACAAGTTTATTGCACATTGGAAGTAAGCACTCGCTAGGCGCCTTTACCCTTCATATATCTTATGTCACCGAATCCTCACAAAGCACCCTATAAGGTAGTACAGAATGAGCCCCACTTCACAAAGGAGAAAACTGAAGTTCCAAGAGGTTCACAAGATGCTCACTCGTACATAACTAACGAGACATGGAACCTGGGGTTTGAACCCAAGCAGTCTGCCTTTGAACTTACAGTAATTGCCCCATAGGGCGTCTGTCCTTGTGGCAATCTGGGTTGTGATGGTTTCTCCCACTTCTGCCATCAGCAAATGTTCCTGGCCTTCGGCCCTTGCCTTGGCTATAAACATCATAATGCAACTCATTTGCAATCAGCATCGTGGCTTCACTGGATGAAGACCCCATAGTCAGCCCTGTGGCCTGCCTTCCTCTGATGCTTCAGTTACATAATCCTCATTACCATGCAGCAGGCATAGACTCGGAAGACAATGCAGCCTACATTTTGTACCCAAACGCTTACTTGGCAGCCAAAGGAAGTCAAGATTTGTGCTGTTAAATTTAATTGTTAATACGTTTCTCGGGGCACCTGGATGGCTTAATCGTTAAGTGTCTGCCTTTGGCTCAGGTCGTGATCCCAGGGTCCTGGGATCGAACCCCGCATCGGGCTCCCTGCTCAGTGGGAAGCCTGCTTCTCCCTCTGCCTGCCGCTCCCCCTGCTTGTGATCCCTCTCTCACTGTGTCTCTCTTTGTGTCAAATAAATAAATAAAATCTTTAAAAAAAATACATTTCTCAAGGTCACTGGTCAAGGTTTTTTTTTTTTAAACACATGTTAGCACGATTGCTTCTATTTCCTTCTGTGGTTACATTTGATCCTGTAAATAAATAAAATTATGTGTGTGGATGTACCTAGCACACAGTAGCTACTAAGAAATTTTTTTTGAATGTTTAATGGCAGGTTTTTGTGAATTTCCATGTAGTAAGGAAAGATGACTCTGTATTTTATGGAAAAGATGATCTCATGAAAGATGGCATTCATTATGTCACATGACAGCATGTGAAGAATTTATTTTCTTTCCTCTTGATATTCTTTTTTTTTTAAAGATTTTATTTATTTATTTGACAGAGAGTTAGAGAGAGAGCACAAGTAGGCAGAGTGGCAGGCAGAGGGAGAGGGAGAAGCAGGCTCTCCGCTGAGCAGGGAGCCGGACGTGGGGTTCGATCCCAGGACCCCAGGATCATGACCTGAGCCGAAGGCAGCCCTTAACCCAGTGAGCCACCCAGGCATCCCTCCTCTTGATAGTCTAATAATTACAACTAAGATTTATTGAGCACTTACTATATGCCAGGCACTGCGCTAAACCCTTTCCATGAATTAACTCTTATGGTCACTATATCTGCAGACATACGGGACCGTTTGTCACAAACATTTGGCTAATAATACACTTAGTCCTTGAAAAATCCATTCAAGAGATGATCATTCCTAAAAACATTAGTGATGGTTGGGTAATTTTCACAAAGAAAGCTGTGAGTCTTGAGAATGAAGACATTCCACTTAAGAAGCTTTTGATGGAAAAAAGTAGAAAGAGCAGAAATTCACAAACCCTAGAAAACTCTTCATCTGAAAGTTAGCCCTTTCCTGAGTATTTTACTTTTCAGAACAGCAAGATAGTTTTGGCCTGTATGTCCTGGAGTTCCCCGAGAATGTTAAAGCCGAATTTAGATGTTTGATACTTTGTCACCTATGTGTCCATTTTCCTTAATAATATTTGCATTTAAAACCCGTGAAAGTAATTTGGTGTGTTTCTTATTTGTTTTAGCGCTGGAATATCCCAACCTTGATATATCAGAAACAACTAGAGACTATTGGGTAATTACAGGTAATCTCTTATTTTACTCCTTTTTTCCCCCTATCAGGTTGGTTTGTTCTTTTAAAACTGCGTGTCAAAAGAAGACCCAAAAACTAAAAAATATTTATAATTATAATAATTAAAACTGCATGCCATTCAGTGATAATATCAGCATCTTTTCCTTGGTCCTGTCTTATAAGTCAGGGAGTTACTTCCATAGGACCAGAAGTGGGTAAAGTAAGCTAAGAAAAGATACCACTGAAGGTGAATCTTAGATAACCATTCAAAACAGCAAACTGTAAAGTCCACTGGCCTCCTCTTTGCAAACCGTAGACCAATCAGAAGGTATGGCGGTAACCTGTGGACGTCCATGGGAATGGTTGTTTATTTAAAGATGGTAAGCCTTTCCGCACTGCCCTACAAAACCCCAGTGAAAGGCAGAAGAATGCTGGGCATGCACTTTTCTCTCTCCCCTGGCACATGCCCCACACCTACACTAATCCTGGTAGAGCCCAGGCGTGTCCTGACAGTGAGGGCGGATGGAAGTAGAAGGGTGTTTGGGTGACATTTTCTTTTTTTCCTTGACATTTCCCAGCTGAGCTTTATGAAACAGCAAAAGAAAGTTCTTGTTTGTGTTTTTCCAAAGCCAGACAGTTGCTCTGGAAATCTTACAGAAGCAAGGGTTGTGAGCAAAGAGAGAAGACAGATGTTTGTGGGAGAAGTGACCAGCCCAGCTGTCTGTGGAGGGGGGCAGGGGAGGGTATTAGCTTGGTGGGGCTGCCATAACAAAGTACCTCAGACTTTTGGGGCTTCAGCAGCAGGAGTTTATTTTCTCATAATTCTAGAGGCTGGAGGTCTGACATCAAAGTGTCAGCAAGGTTGATTTCTTCTGAGGCCTCTCTCCTTGGCTTGTAGATGACCATCTTTCCTTTATGTCTTCCCTCTGTGTGTGTGTGTGTGTGTGTGTGTGTGTCCCCTTCTCTTCTTATAAGGACACCCAGCATGTTGGATTAGGGCCCACCCATTATGACCTTATTTTGCCCTAATCACCTCTTTTAGGGCTTCGTCTCCAAATACAGTCCCATTCTGAGGTACAGGGTGGGGGGGTTAGGACTTGAACATATGAATTTTGGGAGGACACAATTCAGAGCATAACAAAGAGGGAGGAAGATCCTACAAGTCATGGAGGATGTGCCTGGGCAAGCCTGTCTGCAACCTCCCTGCCTTCATCCCTGCCCCATCCCCTCCCTCACATGCTGTCCCGAACAAGCAGTAGCTAGGCTAGGCTATTGCCTAGAGTCCTAACAAAGGAGCACACACCTCCTGCTCAAGGAGGCCTGCTCAAAACCTCTGAAATTGCAGAAAATCGCATTTCTTTCTCCCCCACAGAGCCATGATTATGCAGAGATTATTTTACCTGCTAAGAAGGCAAACTAAAGAAATTTTAAAAGGAAAAAGGGGCGCCTGGGTGGCTTAGTCGGTTAAGCATCCAACACTTGGTTTTGGCTCAGGTCATGATCTCAGAGTTGTGAGATCAAGTCCTGCATCGACCTCTGGGCTGGGATGGAGTCTGCTTGAGATTCTCTCTCTCCCTCTGCCTCTACTTCTCACCCCACCAAGCCCCCTGGTGCTCTGTCTCTAAAAAAAACCAAACAAACCAGAGTTTATGCCCAGGAGGGAGATGCATTTTTGAACCAGCAGGTTATGTAACACTTCCAGAATCACGTTTCCTCCACCAGGAATGCTGCTTTTTAACCTGCAGATGTCTCTCCTATTAACTGTAAGTTTTACATTAAATGGTAACACATCTGCCCTTAAACACAGGCTGTCCTTGACAACCTCCTTCTGTACCTGGGTCTTGCCCTGACTCTGTTTTAGTGACATAACCGTCACAAAATCATGCTAAGACGTCACCCCCTGCCCACCCGCTGATGGACCCTCATTTGCTTATGTTGTTGCTGTTACTGCTGCTGGTAATCAGAGTAAACGGTGGCCCCGTCATGGGGTTTGGGGCTAGTTGCCTCAGTGCCAGCGGAAGGGGCGAGAACCAGTCTCAGCATGATCCTCCTTCCTTCCCTTTCGCTCGGGACCCACTTTCTACACTCACGTGCAGCCACCACCAGCCTTTGGCCATCATTTACAGAAGGGGTAGGAGATTGGGACCTGAGATGAAGATAGCTTTGTTCATCTGGCTCAGAGGCACAGCTCCTTGAAACCCCTCTACCCTTCGTTCCCAAATATCCTACATGAGTACTCTGTCTTCTGCTCATTGCCAACCACTCAGTGGATGGGAAGCAACTTTCCTTTCTGTTGTTGGTATTATGAAACCCTAACATATTTCCACCTGCTTTCCCACTAAACTTACGTTAAATCTATTTTGAGGCGCCTGGGTGGCTCAGTCAGGTAAGCATCCGACTCTTGGTTTTGGCTCAGGTCATGATCTCAGGGTCATAAGATCAAACCCCGCATCCGGCTCCATGCTCAGCATGGAGTCTGGTTGGGATTCTCTGCCTCTCATTTTGCCCTTCCCCCGCTCATGCACGCACGCGTGCTCTCTCTCTCAAACAAATAAATAAAATCTTTTAAAAAAATATGTTTTTGCACTCTATAGACTTCTCCCCTCCCTGGTGGAAAAACAGTGGCTTAGTTAGGGTGCTTCGTGCAGCCCCCTCTGCTGTCTCTGGATCCCGTGGTCAGGGTTGTATAGATGGGGCAGGATGGAGACTCACAGACACAATATTGCTGCCTCACAGAGGTCAGAGTTCATCTTAGGTTTATCCAGTTGTCTTTATTGCATCACCAGCATCAGAATATCCCAGACCCAGCAGTCTCAGGATTTCTTCTGGTCTCAGCCCAGCTGCTGCTAACCTAATATGTCCTTGAGCAGGTCACTCAGGTCCTCTGGGTGTCATGCTGTCACCTGTGGAAGGAGAAGATAGTTGCTGAGAAGATAGGCTCTGAAGGTATGGGATTCAACCACACACGAAACAATTCAGCTTCAATATAGGAAGCTGAACCAGGCCGAGCTGATTGTTGGAATTTTAGAGTCCAGTGCAGTTGTAAATAAAGAAGGACTAAGAGACGAGTGATGTAACAGCCACTAAACCTTCTGGAGAGCTCCTATAAACACAGCGGGGGACTTGCCCGCCTCCTGTAAGCTGAGTCAGTGGTGGCTAAGGGTGGGTGGCCAGGGCCCTGGCTGACGGGCCGAAGGGCTACTGTCCTCCTGGGCACCTGGGCCAGCATCCAAGCTCCCCTCCTGCTTCTGGGCTGCTCTGAGAGATGCACGCCCCTTTCTAGTCCCTTCTAGGTGGGCAGAGAGGGCTGGGGAGCCTGGGGCCCGCTGCACTTCTCAGGGGAAAGGAAACGGGCCACCATCCTGGAACACAGTTATTTCTTCCTCTGGGAAAAATGTGTCTAACCAAGAAGGGGCACATTTGAGCAACCACATCAGCTGGCATTTACGGGCACCCTCTCAGGTGCCTGGCAGCACTCTGCTCAAAGCATTTTTTTTTTTTATAAAAGTGTCTGTTCTCCACCATGACACAATCAGAAGTAGATTATAATCCCTGTGTTTTCAGACGACGAACCAGGGTCCAGAGGAACTAAGCGACTTGCCCAAGTGTACTCAGTAAGGGGGAGCCAGGATGTAAAGCCAGAGCCCTGGCTCCAACCCCCAGTTCTTCTCCAGCTGCCTGCGGGGGGTCGGGGGGCACATTCTCTTTGCAGACAGAGTGGTGAGGCGTGTGGGAACTGTCCGGCTGTAGGTTCCGTGTAGCTCTGTGAGAGGTTCCCATGGCCTCCTGCACCTCCCTGAAGGCTGTGGTTTGGTTTGGTTTTTGTTTTCCCTCAATTTAAAAAATTGGGGTAAAATACACATAACATGCAATTTACTATTCTAACCATGTATAAATGTACAATTCAGTGGTATTAAGTACATTCACAGTGCTGTGTAGCCGTCACCACTCCCTATTTTTGGAACTTTTTCATCACCTGGGGGCTTTGACTGTCCCTTTCTTTGATGTCTGCCCTTGAGTCATTGCTGGGATCCCCTTAGAGTAACCCATGATGGTGCGCTCTGACTGTCCTGTGTCCCCACTCTGACTCTTGTCTGGTAGTCAGGAGAGGCCAACTTAGAAGTCATCTTTCAGGGATGCTAGGTGGCTCATTTGGTGAAGCGTCTGACTCGATCTCAGCTCAAGTCTTGATCTCAGGGTTGTGAATTCAAGCCCTGCGTTGGGCTCCATGCTGGGCGTGGCTTGAGCCGATTTTAAAAAGAAAAAAAAAAGTAATCTTTCAGCAGTGGTTGTGTAGTTTTACTAGAGACGCATGTTTGAAGCAGCAAGAATGTGGCTCTCCTCTCTGGGGCCAAGAGGTAGGCTGGCCCTTCCTCAGACTGACAGCTGCGTCAAGGCGGATTCTGAGGGGCCTCTCGGGGACCTGCCACGGAGGGAACAGTGCCGACGTGTCTTATCTCCGTTTGCAGGAATTCTGCTGACAGATGAGCTGGGAGTCCCTCACAAGGGCCCTAGAAAGAGAGCCGCTTTATGCCCTCCATGGGGATTATTTGGCAGTTGTGGCTTCAAAGAAGTAATTTCGGAGACTCAACTGTGGGTTTTATTTTTCTCTTGATCGGTTTCAGCGTCATCCTCTGCATCACGCTGCTCATTCTGGCCCTGCTCAGAACACGCTCACAGTAACAACAGGCGCTTTCTCTTCGGGCTATTTCCATATCCCTGTAGATGGGTGGTACTAATGGCCCTTGGCTTGACTGTGGTGGAACAAATTCTGTTGAATGAAAAATCTTGTATTACATCCCCAGCCCATTGTAAGTTTTTGTCTCTTTAAAAAAAAAATGAGAATTTTTTTTAGCCTTTTTGACTTCAGGGCTGACTGTGTTTGGAGGCAGTGTTTGTGTGTTTGGGGTGACGTGTATTTCCCAAGGGACTTGGAGGAAGGACTGGGCTTTGGGTTTTAGATGGCAAAAGGAAGTTGCTCCCGTAGTAAGTGACCTTTTCAGTCCTAGGATGGTCCTGGTGTTCATGGCGGTCTCCTCCATGCATGCACTAGCCATTGCCTAGAGGTCCATCATTAATGCCTTACCTACCCAGATAGCCCAGGGTATAGGAGAAACCCAGCCATGGAGGAAGGCTGGAAAGAGGAGTTTCATTTACCTTCTATGCACCAAACGTTGTGCTAAGCTGCTTTATACGTCTTGTCTCATTTCAACCTTATAGCCCATGAGGAATAGACTTTCTACTCCCTTTCTACAGACAAGGCCTCGGACTCAGAAAGGGCCAATGGTTTGCCTGAAGTCCCACAGCTGGCAAGTGCCCGCCCACTCTTTTCTATTACAGTGTCCTGCTCTCGAATGGGGGAGTACCTGAGAGGCTGCGGGCCACTTAGGGGTGCGTCCTCAAGGGACCCCATAGAGGAGGGAGGGATGAGGACACTGAACAGGGTGGCTTGTCTGGGTGTGAGGAGCTGAGTTGCAGGATGGAGCTCCGATGCCTTAGCAAAGCTGCTGAGAAGGGAAGATGCGGTAAGGATAGCCCTGAGCCAGGCCTTCCGAGTGGGAACCCGTGAAGGTTCCAGTTAGTCATACCTGCAGCTGTGCTCTATTCCCATGTGTCTCTAGCAACACGTAACATCTTAAATAAGGTTTGGATTAAATACAACAGCATTAGGCACGTCACAGCTTGCAAAGGAGAGAGCCCAGGCTTTGGAGGTACGGAAGCATGGGCTCGACCTGACCGCACTGTGCCGGTTACTAGCTGCATGACCTTCAACAAGTCACATAACCTTTCAGCATCTATAACATGAGGACAGTGATTCCTAACTCCTGGGGCTGTTATGAGGGTGAAATGAGGTAAGGATGGCCAAGGCCTGACATGAGATAGGGCCCATGGCCATTCGTGGCCAGTGCAGGGCCAGGGGTGGTTGTGGTTTCTGAGTCAGTGGGCAGTCTGTCCTCTGAGCAGCCCTTCTGCGTTCTGCCTCCACAGTGCTCCAGGGCGTGGACAATTCGCTGGTGGGCCTGCACAACCAGAGCTTTGCCCGGGTCATGGAGCAGCGCTTGGCCCAGCTCTTCATGATGTCCCAGCAACAAGGCCGGCGGTTTAAACGGGCCACCACCCTGGGAAGCTACACTGTGCAGGTGGGTATGTGCCAAGCCACTGGGATCTTCTGATAAATGTGTGGGAGTGTCCTGAGACTAAGTAAACCATGCTGTGTGCAGAGGAGCATTTCATCAACACGGCTCTTAGGGTGTGGGGCTCATGGTCATGACCATCAGAATCATGGAGGAGGATGAGAGTGAGCTACTCCCCTGTCTCCCTCCTAGACTCTAAGGCTTCAGAACAAATTCTGTACACAGGCACGTATTTATTAAACAAAAGTTATTAGTAAGCAAACACAGACTGACTACTCCCCAACCTGTTCTGGAGACTGGAGGGAGTCCCAGAGCTCGGGGCCTTCAGGCCTCTCGCCACCACTCCTGTGGTTGGCAGACGCACCAATCAATTTTCCAGGGGCAGGATTCTGTGATCCTTAATTAGCCAGTTTCAACAAACAGAGCCCCCCCACGTTCGTAACGGACAGGGGACCGCACAGGGACTGAGGTGAGGGAGCTGTAGCAGACTCTACTGCCCAAACCCCCTTCCCATTTCTGTCGAATGCATCTTTATCGAAGGGCAGCTCTTGAGATGCCAGAACCCACTTGGTCCATGCCGCAGCTGGCCGCCAAGTGCCTGCGAGTTCATGAGCGGTGGGGGGTGTGCCTACGACAGCCCTCTTGCTCCCTGGCTAGGGGAATTCCGAAAACGTTTGTGTTCAGTAATTGCCAGAGCTTTCCCACGGAGTTAAGCTTTAGCTGCCTGCTGTGGTAACTAGATTAATAATGTACCTCATGCTAGTTCCCTCCCACCGCCCTGGGTCACCTCCTGTCAGTCAGTTCCTTGTGCCTCCCAGCTAAGCTACAAGCACTCAACTCAGAGTCGGCTTCAGAGGGAGCCCGACAGACACCAGGGCCATCCCAAGGCAGAGGCGCCAAGCTTCTTTAGATTCTTTATTCCATTCAAGCCAGAGTGGGAGCATCTCTAGCACATTCTAGCCAATCCACATATCTTGAATACCACTGATTTCGCCGAAGCTGAGAATGGATGGCTAATGTTTGTTATGCTAATTAGCAAAGCTCTGTGGAGCAAGGTGTCAAAGTACAGAAGCAGGGCTGGTGGCTGCCTCCAGAGTGTGAGCTTCCTAATTGGAATCTAGCAGACTGCCCCTGGAGTGTGAACTCGTGATTGGCAATTGCCACATGGAGGGTGTAACTTAACCCAAACACATATGCTTGATATCCCAGTGTCTAAGAGGAAGCGTTTTAAAGGAAATTACAGGCATTACTCTAATCTGTCTGCAGATCGTGCCCCCAGGCAATTCTGAAAGTACAAACAACCCGTTTTCTGGAACACACTTCCCTGCCTGAGTCAAGCATCATGCCCCTGAGGGAGACTCGAGGTCCTCCATTCACAGTTGGTGAATCGGGCCCCTTGTCTTATTAGATGTTGCTTTCCGTCAAAGTCTTTGTGGTCTGTGACAGCCTGGGACCAGGTAAAGACATGGTTAAGTTCTCGTGCCAGGTTATGATTTACCGTTTGTGGGGTCCACGTGAGCCCTATAAGTCACGCTTCTCCAAATAACAGGAAACCATTGAGACTCAGACAGTGAAATGGGATTTGCCTAGCTGACGGGAGAGAAAGAACGGCCCTATAATCCTGGTGTTATTTGTAAACCTAAGAAACCTAACACATTTTACATATCGAAAAGAGCCCATCAAGGTAGTCTTTCCTCATTTCTTCTGAGTACTCGATGTGCTTGGCTCCACAACCGCCTGGAAAGTCTGAGTGAAGTAAGTAGAGATTTATTTCTGCAAATCCTTACTTTATAGAGTCTGTAGATCACCTTCTCACATCACCCTTGGAGAAATCTTGGTAAGAAGAATTCGCTACGAAATTGAAATTGAAATTGAGTGAAGTTATTGAATATTTGAATGCCCATTCACCTTCTACCTGGTTGTACTAACAGTGTCCTTACCTCCTCTCCCAGAAGGGACAGGAATGACATGCCCGAATTTCCCAAATAAAATTCACTCTACATAGCTTACATCTTCCTTCCATGCAGAGGCGTTTTTGCTGGGCTCAGATAATTTTAAAAGATGAGCCACTTTCATAAATACGGAAATGTATATGTCTGGAATGTAAAGATATTTCTCTAGTGAACATATCTGAAAAATTGAGTCTGAAGAAGAAATACATATGACCAGTAAAAATTTTTTTTAAAGATTTTATGTATTTATTTGACAGAGAGAGACACAGCGAGAGAGGGAACACAAGCAGGGGGAGTGGGAGAGGGAGAAGCAGGCTTCCCGTGGAGCAGGGAGCCCGATGCAGGGCTTGATCCCAGGATGCTGGGATCATGACCTGAGCCGAAGGCAGATGCTTAAAAACTGAGCCACCCAGGGCCCCACGAGTAAACATTTTTTAAATGTGTAACTCCATTTGCCATCAAAGTAATGCAAATTTTAACCACCACAAGTTATCATTTTCACCTACCAAAGATTTATAATGGTACTATCCAGTATGGGTGAGGATGCAGTGAAATGGGCACTTTCAAACCCAGTAAATGGGTTTGAAATGACCACTGTGGAGGGCAAGTGAGCAGTTTAGACAAGAACCTCCTAGATAGTCACAAACTTACTCCTAGAAATTCATTTTGAGGAGATAGAGGTGAACACAAAGACAAGAGAACGGAGCAGTGTTTCTCAAGAGAGTGTCCAAAAAAATGGTCCTATAAGGTGCCCTGGGCCAAATGGGCTTTGTGGCCACATCAGTTTGGGCAAGGCTTCATCCTGTAGCCCCTTCTTGAAGATTCCCGAGGCCTATTGGCATACCAAAGACTCTAAAAAGACCTGCAGTAAAGAAATTCCTTAATTTTGTTCAGCATACTGGTTCGTAAATTTAAGTGCCAATAAGAACCTTATGTTTAGTAATACCTATATTTCTCCAATAATTTATTATGAACATTTTTAAGCTCACACAAAAGTGAAAAAATTATATAGCAAACACCAATAAACTCACCATCTAGGTTCTACAATTAATGGTGTGCTATGTTACTATTTTATATTCGATAACATATTCATTTCCATACCATAGATCAGTTTGGACTGTTCTAGAACCTCATATACATAAGTATATTCTCTTTTGTATAAAGCTTTTTTGACTCAATGTAGTGTTTTTAGGTTCATCATCATGTTGTGTTTTTCAGGAGTTTATTCCTTTTTATTGCTGAGTAATATCCCCTTATATGAATATACTACAGTTTGTTTACCCATTTTTCTGTTGAGAGACCCCCAGACTTTTTCCAGTTTTCAGCTATTATAAACAAAGCTGCTATGCATATTCTTCTACAAGTCTTTCTATGGCCATATATTTTCATTTCTCTTGAGTGTGTAGGAGTAGAATTGCTGGTTCCTAGGGTGGGTGTATGTTAGCTCTGTGAGAAACCGCTAGACCTTTACCCAAAGTTTACCATTTTACACTCCCACCAACCAGATGTAGAGTTCCAGTTACTCCTCATGCTCATCAACACTTGGTGTTGTCAGCCCTTATTTCAATCATTCTGCTGGGTGATAGTGGTGTCTTGCGGTTTTGCTTTTAATTTCCCCATTGAGCATTTTGTATATGCTTGTTGACTATTCAGATACCTTCCTTTGTGAGGACATACACAGACATACACAGGAGTATAAACTCAGGTAGGCTTCAAAGAACACTAATAAAAGGAAGCCACAACCCAAAGCATAAGAACATTCCCCTTACCTTACCCCAGAAGCCTTTTATGTGTCTTCTGATTATACATACTCCCTTCCTATCTATCAGAGCTGAGTGTGCTTCTGAATTTTGTTTTAAGTCATACCTGTATTTCCTGTGTAGATTTTACCATCCACATGTGTATCCCTAAACAGTACATCATTTGGTTTTGCTTGTGTTTGAATTTTATATTCTGTGATTTGTTCCTTTTGCTCATTATCAGGCTTTTGTATTCACCCATATTGATACAAATAGCCATAGTATTTATACTACTCTATAATATTTCATTCTGTGACTATACCATAACTTATTAATCCATTCTACTGTTAGTGACTTTTGAATTTTCAGGGTGTTTTTTTTTGCTGTTGTGACCAATATTGCTATAAACATTTCTGTAATATCTTTTAATATCCTATGAAGCTCATAATCTGTAATATACACTTTGGAAAATACTATACTATACTATAATGTTTTTTTATTTTGTTATTGTTATGTTAATCACCATACATTACATCATTAGTTTTTGCTTATACTATAATGTTTATCAGTTGTTAATTATAGTTGTGAAAACTTGATAGCAAACTAACCGTTCAAAAATGAAGTGTTAGTTGAGTTTATGAGGCATGCATATAGTAGAATATTATGTAGATATAAAAATTTATGTTTTATGTATTTATAATGATGATCAATTAGCTACAATACTGAAAAATGAGTAACAATTTAAGTGTTTGACAAAAAGTGATTTGCTAAGTAAGTTTATGAGGTGTGCTTTGGAATGCTGTGTAGAAGTTAACATTTATGCTTTTGTTACATTTAAGGTCACTTAAGGGTGCAAGTAAAAATAGTAATATGTGATTCTATATAGAGAATATGATAAATAATTTCATAAAATAATAAATAAAAGGTTTGTGTGGAAAAAACAAAGAATAGAGGCAAATGCTCCAAAATAATATAGTTAGCTTGGGGTGGAGGGATTACAAATTGCTTTTATTTTATTTCATTTCTTGATGCTTTTCTGTGTTTTCTTTTTTTTTTTTTT